AACACAGATGGCCTGACACTGAATTTTAAAAGCACCATAGCCTGTATTTTTCCCTAGTTGTATTTTCATTTATTCAGCAAGTAGGTGTTGACCACCTACTATGTGCCAGGCACTGTTGTAGGTGTTGCGGACACAGCAGTGAACAAAACACACAGGGGGGAAAAAATCCCTGGCCTCATGGAGCTTCCATTCTACTAAGGGAGACAACCAACATGTAAGGAAACAAAAAAAAGTTAATGAGTGTTATGAAGAAAATAGTTATTTAAAAGAAAAAGAGTATCTGATGAGTTACCACTTAGCTGTTCTGTGGCATCAAGTAGCAATTTCACCTTACAAGGGTCTCAATGTTCTCTTCTCTATTAGAAGGTTTGTAAGCTATGTTCCTGTACGGGAATGCGGTGTCCATCAATTAAGGTTTAAAACATCTTAATGACAGATATATACACAGTTTTAAAACAAAAATTAAATTCATTTTTCAGTATGACCTAAACATTGAGGACAGAATCAACACCATGTTCAAAATTAGGTAGCATCCTACTCAAAAACAAGTTTGTGAGCGTATCAACAATTTCTGATGATGTATTACTTCGGTAGACTATTGGAACCTCTTTTCTGTTTGTTTTAAACAAAATAAAGAATTTTTATTCTAAAAGATAGCTAGCACATATTTCAAAGTCACTTTTTGGAATTCATTCTTTTTATTTGTAGATGTCTTAGGCTGAGTGCCCACTGTAATTTCCTCATAAAATGCTGGGCAAATGGATCCTAAATCTGCACTCTTCCATGGCTGAAAAAGAAAAGAAATGCATTCCCCTTCCATCTTTTAAACAGATGTTCCATAACCATGAATACATGAAAAACCTTTGAACGTGACCTCTGACAGCTCTCTCATGAATGATTTCACTCTGTCTCACTATTGCCTGTGCTGATAAGTAAACCACTTGCTAACTCCCAACAAAGAAAGCTATCAGTAAAAAAACACAGGATCAGTGTGATATTAGGAATACAGAGTAGCTTCTTTCACCCAAGAATCTTTCCTGAGGCCAATATCTGCAATTAGTGACCTCCTTTTGTGTTAAACACTGTAGAGATTCCTGGGAAACTGAGAAGGGGGAAATGGGAAGGAGGGATTCAAACATTAGAAGTCATGGCCAGAGTATATTTGATAATGACTGACCGGTTGACAATGAGCTAAAAAACAAAATCATGATATAGTATCAAGTCCAAGGCTACACATGAAGCATCTTTATAGTAATTTCCCTAAAATCAGAGTGTGGCATTAAAAAAGTAGAGAGATTTCCAAGAGCAAGAGAGGAGGAATTGTAAGTCATATTTTATTTCACCTGCTCTTTGCTGTCTGTAACGAACATGGCGAGAAACTTGTTTTCTTAGCTACTTTGTTTTGCTAAGATTCTGGTTTGCCATAATTGGCTATTATCTCTACTAACCTGACTAAAAATTAAGTTGTATTTTTTTTTAAAAAAGCAATTGTCCAATGCATGACTCCTAGATTTCTGGGTGAAAGTTAAGGAACGAGGGCCCATTTTTACTGCCATTTTACCCATGTTAAATTGCTAATTCCCCTCCTCCTGTAGGCAAGGAGCTAAATGGTCCACCTCAACTTCTCTTCTCTTACTCAAGTCACTGAAGTGCAAGGCAGGAGCTTTTACTTCCTATAGGAGCTTCTTCCTCGAAAATTTCCATATTCCCAACTCCCAACACTGCGAAAATTAATTTAAACAATCTGATCGTTTATAAAAAGAACCCCTTCTTCTCTCTTTAAGAACAATGACTATAAATTTTAAAACAGAGAAATAAAGCACCTTACTCAGGTCCCAATTTACTGTGTTCCACTCGGGAATTCACTGCTATCGGTGTAGTCCGCCCAGCTCCACCCAGAGGCTAAGTCACCTTAGCAAAGAACCTCGTAGGGCTGATCGGAATGACGCCTGGACGCTGTGGGGCTATTTTCTCTGCACTTTAGCTCCCTTTCCCAGCAACAGGAAATGCAACACATTTTCAAAATATAAGGCCCAGAGTACCAAGTTCACTCAAGTAATTTATACTCCTGCCCTTTCCTCAGTTGTCGGCAGTTTAAATGGGAGAAAGGGCGAAAGGGAAACAGAAAAGGTGAAATAAGGACTGTACTTTGCTTTGTTTACCACACTTAGAAATTGTCACCTTAATTTACTGTACCAACACTGAAAGGTTCAGTGGTTTTAAATCTATAACTAGATCTCTTAAAAAGTTTCCTCTCCTTTCTCAAATTTATAAAAAGTATAACCTAACAAGCTTTGTGAATGGATTCGATGTCTGAGAAAGAAAAATAGGTCATTCCCAAGAAAGGTCCAAGAATTCCAGACAGTCATTACAAATTCAATACAACAATAAGAGATTACAAAAGTGACTGAGGGCAGAAACAAAAACGAGAATTCACAATACTAAATTAAAACAAAGAAAACATCTGAGACAAGCAAACAAAAAGGTATTTAGTACACAATAGCCACTTCTCACTGACACATGGTACAACTGAAAATAGAGATTCATCACCTATGCATATGGGCTCTAAATTATATAAAAATAAAGCAGAAACTATTTATAAATATAAAAACCACTATTATGGACTAAATGCTTGTGTTCCCCCAAAATTCGTACACTGAGATCCTAACTCCAGTGTGATGGTGTTAGGAGGAGGGGCCTTTGGGAGGTGATTAGGTCACAACGGTGCAGCCCTCATAAGATTAGTGCCCTTTAAAGAGACCCCAGACAGCTCTCTCGCCCCCTCCAACACGCCAGGACACTGAGGAGACGCCCGGGTGTGGTGACTTGGCCTCCACCCCCCCCCATTCAAGTCCTCTGACTTCCCCTCCTCTTCCCTCCCCTGCGGACCCTCATCACATCACCCACCCCTGCCATTATCTCTTTCCTCCCTCACTTCGGACTGTCATCGCTTCATCAGTGAGCAGGCTGTCACGGTGTCTGCAGGGAGGGGAACGCGGGTCACTCTGGGCAATGCTGACGCAGCGCATGGCGCGGCATAACCCCGCACGGGAGAGCGGGGCCCGCCCGGCCCGGGGCCTCTCCCCAGCTCTGCAGCCTGGCAGGTCCCGCTCTGCCCGCGGCTCCTGCGGCGCGCCTGGGGGCTTTCCGCATGCCCCTGATGAAGGCTCCTACGGGCATCGTGTGGAAAGGAATTAAGTCACCTACTCCTGACAAGTAAGGGCTGGGATGTCTACTTAAGGGGCGGGTAAGATGATAAACACACACGTCTGTCCTCTTCCCTTCCCTTCCCCGGTTTAATTCAGAGCTTCAAAACAAGCGCTTCCATTAAGGGACTGTCAGGCCGAGAGAGACCCGGCGGATCTACAATGACAAAAGGAAAATTCCAGGTCTCCCGGTATCTCAACATAAACTGCAACCCAACCAAACCACGTTCCCGCTCTCCCCTAAATAAGCTGAGTCTCTTCAGGACTGAACTGAAGGACGATTTCATTTTCACAATCCAAAAAGACACTCTGGAGATGTACCAGCTGTGAAGGCACAGAGAAATATAACACCTACTGTGTGTCGTGGTTTAAAGTTCTTCCTGCATACTCTACAGATTTCCACCCCCAACAAAAGAAAATTATTCATCCAGCAGAAGCAATGGGGG